TTGCTTTATCCAAGCAATCAGTCCAGTTTGACCCAAAGAAATAAAAATATTTACTACCTCAAAACCAAACAAATGCTATTAGTGAGTAAATATTGATGATGAAATACTGTTTTGGTTATGTAGGTAGGATGTGAACCATTTCAGTACTGGTACAAATATTCTACACTCCTGGACCAAATTACCACTTGATTTTATTATTTCATATAGTTTTCCATATTATCAATCCAAGGACAAGAGAATCAGAGATAAAAGAGAGAGTACTAACACACTGGGAAATTAACATCAGGGCATTAACTTTTAAACCTTTTCCAAGCTCAGCCATGTTCCTAGTTTTTTCTTCCTCCAGACATTTTGTAAGGGTTTCTGGAAGTAACATAATAATACTGCTAGAGTTTGCTAGGCTTGTGACTTAAAATATGCTTTCTTTTTATTTAAGTATCTAAAAATTGGATCTTTCAAAGTAGTTGTTGTTTGATGTTGAGAATAACTAAATTCTCAATAAATTAAAGTAAAAGTTTGGCATATAAAAATAAAACCTAATAATTATATTTTTGAAAGTAATTAAAGAACCTAAGGTTTTCCCACCAGGTTTTATTTCCAAATGTTTTAACACATAGAGAACATAATCAGTTATATTAGTCAGTGTCCTTTATTTTAAGTCTCGTATCAAAATTTTCTCTCTAAATTGAGAGCTAGGAAAAGAAAAACATGAACTGGTATGATTTTTTTCATTAGATAATTAGAATCACATAATTCACCATGTTTTCCTTTTTGCTATGGCTTCTAGTCAAGCTCAGAGCTCAAACTTGTACTTAACTGAAGCATTTTTTTAAAGTATGGATTTTCTGATGTGGTTAATATCATTTATTGCTTAATTATTTTCAATTATATTTTACCTGTCTAAGCATGTATTTATCATAAAATGCTGCTTCTCAAATACTTTTTGAAAGTAGCTGGCATATAAAGAAATTAAAATCAAGTATTTTCAATAGAAAAATGCTTCCCCCAAAAAGCCCAGTGTTCAGAACATCCATCTTGTTAAATTTGTCCTTAGGCTATCTTGAAAGAATAATAGCTAGTGTTAATCCACTGCACACACCCACACTCAGTTCATTAATGGAGACTTTGATCTTGTACCCAGATTCCCAAATTCATGTGAAATAATATTATTGAGATATAATTTTAAAAATTAAAATGGTTTTCACTTTTTTGAAAAACTTTTTGGTAAACAGAAGAGAGGAAGAAAAGCTTTTCTGAAAACACCACATTTTAGAATCAGTAATAGGTGCAGCCACTTTACTGTGAACCAATATGGCAAAATCAAGGTGATCTGTCCACTATTTTGTAAAAGTTGTTTCTCTTAGAATCATAATTCTCAATTTAGGGAATCCACAAAGGCATGAGATGCCAATGTCTGGCAGGACCCCTCTTACTAGATACAAAATCTATATGTTCAGATGTCACTATAACCTTCAGGTCTGTTGTACCCATCTGCATTATACTGATGGTAGTTCACAGTGGCAGCTGTGGTCCCCTGACTCCTTGCTTTGTCTGTACCTCATAGACAACTGTCCTAAGATGGTGACACCACCTCTGGGGCGAATCACAAAGGTTCTCTGTAACAGTCTCAGACACTTTGGCAACAAACATAAAAGATCAAGCATTCTCTAAATGGTTCAAGGCCCTCAAAGAACAATGAAGAGATCAAGGAACCTATGTCCTGTTTTTCTTCTAATTCAAAGGGGTAAATTGTAGAAATTCTTTTATTGCATGGCAGTTCAGTAGCAAAGCAAGAATTACATGCAGAACTATCATGTTAGAAGTTTCCTAGAAGAATCTTAATTAAAAAAATAAGTTCTTTGTATTAAAAACATGATTGGATCAACCCAATCCTTCTTCAAAATAATTTCCAGAAGAGGGATCTGACGAACGAGAAACTGACGCTGTGAATTTCTGTGTTGGTATCTGCTGATCTAGATGCTTTTTCTCAAACATTATGACCTTAAGTAGGTACCAGACTAAACATGCGGGCGGTAAATTCATGTGCATTTCAGCAAATCACAGCAGTGAAAATCAAGGCATATGACATAAATATAATATGTGCATAGAATAATTAGCTCAATGCACCAAATAAAATGAAGGGAATGGTTAATTGCCCTTAGTTGCATTATTATATCTTATCATTTCTTTATAACAGAAATTACTTGAATAACCAACCTATATATAGCGTATTCACCAAAAAGTACTTCTTAGTTGATGTATATGATTCACCTTATGGTAGGTAACTATATAATAATGATTTGATTATCAATATGCAATATATCAAACCTTTAGAAAGGCCAAAAGTATACCATATATTTAGTATACAATTTTTCATATACTGTATGTACTCTACAATCTGATGGAAGAAAAGCAGCAAACAAAGCCATAGTATCCACGTAGCTATTCCACGGGTCCTCTGTGGTTCAGTATTTCAACTAGTCCTTTCTACAAAATGGCCTCCATTGTTAACGGAAGCAGCCAAACGTGAACTGAAAATCAAATCTCTCTGGAACTAAAATTAAAAATCAGACAATCCAATATTTAAGACACCTGTGTTTGTTCTGCATCAAACCACAAAATAGTGACTTGAAAAAAGATCTATTTTAAAAAATATATGCCCACTTTGTCTTTTTGAGATCTAGGAATGGAATTCAGGACTGAAAAGGCATTATACATGAGATTATTTAGAGCACAATCATGACAAGATATATTTGGGAAATTTAGGCTTATCTGAAGGAAACTGAAACAATAGCCTCAAAGAATAACCAAAAATAATTGCAAAGCATTATCATTTTGGCATATATGATAAGATTTTTAAAAATATAACATTGATAAAGTTTTTAAAAAACATATTCTCTAAAATTAACTAATTATGTAACTTATATAGTAATCCTTTTCATTTTGATCAAGAATGCATTTAGCCCGTTTCCATTGCTTCTTAGCATTCCCAGGACAGCAATTCCAATTGTTTCAAGAAAGACGCAAAATATGAGAAACATAATCCTATGTATAATATAGCATTTGAAGAAGTCACATGGTCCTCATACTTAATATTTCAATTAGAAGAAATTCAATTAATAACCTTATTATACTGTCCCTTAATTATATGGGACAATTCTAAAATTTCCCTTTTGTTACCATTGGATGGACCGCACCCTATACATGGCAGATATGACATATGCCAAAGTCACAAAGATTTCCACTAAATTTGGCTGCCACTTGTGTTGGCTTTCTACAACACCACTAAAATAGTAGTAAGTGATATAAATTAATGGATTTTATTGTATCAATTATTCAATTTTACTTGGCACACAGGCACCACACTGACTCACAACTCTAACATCACACAAGACAATGGTAGACTTAGTATCATCTCTGAAGGAGAAATGAATTTTGAAAATATTCTTAACAAATTGTACGGCTAACAATAAAAATATCAGCATAGATTTTATAAAAGCTGTAATTGGATGGTGGCAGAAATATAATACCCATTTATTTCCTAGGAACTGCCTGAGTATTCTCATACTCTGGCTACTATAATGACTACATACTTAGTCAGCAAACCCCATAAAACAAGTTGAAAATAATTTTCATGTAAATGTAGATTATTGACACACAAAAAAGGCTGTGCTGAGTATATCTATATTGCCCAGTCATTATCCGAAAGTGAAAGACTCAAGGTAAATGAAAAATAACCAATAACTCCCATTCTTTGCTTTACTGCCTCCCACCCTCCATTCAAGAAATTAACTTGTTTAATCAGTTGTATTTTCATGTTTAGATAATTATAAATTTGTATAAACACATATGAAAACAAATGGAAGGTTTACTTCATTGTTCAAAAATTATATTATTTGGGGAGGAAGAATAACTAGGAAGAAGCTTATGTGTGGTATGGATAATATGGTTAGATTTTAATGGGAAAAGAGCTATTTCAGCTTAGTATATTATATGGCTGTATCAGAAAATAAAATGATCTCTTTATTGTTATCAATTGCTCTGCAATTTTTCTTCAATAAAATTTCACAGCAATCACCTCAAGAGGATACACTAAAGGCCTCTGATCATATACAGGGTGGGGCACAAGTAGGTTTCTAGTTATGAGTACACAAAACACAGTTTATTCTTATATTATTATTTATTAATTACTGTGTTATTTCCCATACAAACTCCTGTAAACCGACTTTTGCCCCACCTTGTGTACCCTAGAGAATGTATTGCACTACAAAGACACACACTCAGTAAGAATTTTTTTCATCTGAAATTTATAAAGATAATTTTTCATGCTGACAGTGCACATTTCATCCGTAAGTCTGAAGAGTCAAATGCTACCACAGCTGGGGGTTATTCTGCCAAATGGCTTCCAACAGGGACGACAGAGATGGAGGCTAGGAGGCATGTGTATGTGCACGAAGGAAAAAGCAACAGACCTGATGGGAAATAGCCTTTCGCTGGAGTCATTTTTATCAATTACCATCTGAGGGATCTAATCAGATATAGAGTCTAATGGGGAAAAAAGCAACACTAGGAAGCAAAAGCAAACATTAAAACAGCTGCTTGATTACCTACAGAGATTAAAACAAAAAGCAAGGAGTGAGGCTGATATATTTCATAGGGATTTGCTAAGGCTGAGGGGGGGGGGGTAAGGGGCAGATACCTTTAAAAAATCCATCATGAAAGGAACTGAGACAAGATTATAAAAAAGGGGCCAAGTTATAGCACACCATGGGATTTTTAATCTGGCTACCTGTGGTTTCTGTAGTTAAAGCCTTATTCATCCTTAAAACAAGAGGGGGGGGCCCGGGTGGAGGGAAGAAAACAAAAAAAAAAAAATCACATTTATATGTCAGTTTTGCAAATGATCAAACAGCGTGCGTCAACAAGAATAATAAGAAAACATGAAACGCTGATGACTTTTTAAAAAGATGCCCGTTTTATCAAATATTATTGGTAATTACCTGTGAATCTCGTTTCTTGAACTCTTGAATTTGATTTTCGTGCTCCATATTGGCAGCGCGAAGCTGTTTTTCCAGGTTTTCAATGTCCCGTTCATGGTCTCGGACTAGGCTATCCTTCTCTGCGTTATGCTGCTGTAATAGGTGCGTCTTCTCCTGTTCATGCTCCAGCTTCAGCTCTACTATCTGATTGGACAATGAGGAGGACAGTTCATCAACAGAACATCCTTGTCGTCATGACAACTCATGGACAGCTTAATTTTTCCCTAATTTGACCAAGTTCAAAATTTTATTTTTGCGTCATTATTACCTCACCCTTGAATACTCTCATTTTTGGGGGGGAGTGGGGAAGGTTTACCCAAATCTCCTAATATTCAAGACAGTTGGGCATATTCAGTAAATCCTTCTGCAATCTGTTGACACAAATGCCTGAATATTGAAAAAAAATTATGTTGAATGCTAGGTATTTCCTCCCCATGAATTTGGGCATTACTGATCAGCAATGGTTATAAATGGTTAATAGTCCGTATGCTTTGCTTTTTGCTTAAATATATAAGCGTATGAGCAGCAATTAAATCGGTCAGTTTTCTTTATGATTTTTAAATAAAAGATCGGAGCTAAATACGCATCTGGATTATTGTATATACAGTTGTCTTTTTAAAAATAAAATGATAAATTTCAAAGCTCTATTATCTCATTGTCAGCTACGGTATACCAACATAAACAGATGTTATGTGTTCCAGAAGGGCACCTGCTGTGCTGCAAGCTTGCGCCATGATTTCATAAAAAGCATTCTATTCTCAGGATCCTTTCCCAGTCCACTCCACACTGGAGACTGTGACCTTGGCCAGTCTGAGCCTCTCCCTGCAAGACTGAATGGCAGCCGGAGACCAAGGGCCTGGTTGCCGCAGCTTTGATACTAATCCTCCCAGACTGTGCACAATGGCACCCTACCTGGCCTGCAAACTATAGCCAGCCAGGCTGTCTTTGAAGCAGGTGATGAATAGGGGACTGCAGGAAGCCAGCTTCCCCAGTGAACTCCAGGCCACACAGCTGCTAAGAACAGTCACTTGGATTTTTCTTCAGTTTTGGTGGATTTCAGTGGAAAAAACTGCTGTTATCTAGAATATGTTGTGTTATTTTCGGCGTGAGAATCCATCTTCAAAAAAGCTAACAGTAGGAGCCTGCTCCAAACCGATCTTGTTTCGTGCAATGAATCACCAGACTACCATATCTTAAAGCTATAGCATTCATTTCTCCAGACACGCATGCTGCACTCAATTTCAGAAGTTATTTTCCTTTAAGATTTAGAAGTCTTATCCTCTATTTGCAAATTAAGAGTCAAAACACAAATTAAATTTACTTTTAATTTAAACAACAGGTTTCAATTTTTTTTCTGATAATGATCTTTCTTAGAGAACTGAAAAATCAACCATAAATTTCTGACCACTCATAAATTATGCTATTCAGAAGAAAGAACAGTATTCAAATTCTTGAATATATACACTTATCAGAACAAAACAATGTATAAAATATGAAAAAAATTATTTTGTATCTGAGAATAAAGATGCACTCTAGCCCTGACTGGTTTGGCTCAGTTGATAGAGCGCCGGCCTGTGGACTGAAGGTTCTCAGGTTCGATTCCGGTCAAGGGCATAAGAAAAAAAAAAAAGAATAAATAAATAAATAAATAAAAAGATGCATTCTAGTGAATTTATGTTTATTTAAAATGTAGGAATCTTCAATATTACTCTACTTCTGTCACTTTTTTCCTTAAACACTATTATCAAGTAGTAAAGAAATGTTTCTTTGATTATTTAAAATAAATTGAGCCCTAGCTGGTTTTGCTCGGTGGATATAGCATCAGCCTGAAGACTGAAGGGTCCCAGGTTTGATTCCGGTCAAGGGCACATGCCCAGGTTGCGGACTCGATCCTCAATGTGAGGCGTGCAGGAGGCAGCCAATCAATGATTCTCTCTCATCATTGATGTTTCTATCTCCCTCTCCCTGCCTCTCTGAAATCAATAAAAATATGTAAAAAATAAAATAAAATAAATTGACATGTTTTATCCTATAGTTCATACAACTACAATGTTAATCACAACGAAAGAGAGAATTTAAAAAGGTATTTATATTACTGTACTTTTTTTCAGGCAGCCAAGTGTATGAATTATGGAGTTAGGATATTTTTAGTTCTTTGACATTATTTTTACTCGGCATTATGTTATCAAGCATAATTATAACAAAATTATAAATTTTACTGAAAATCATTTAAGTATGTAATACACTGAAAGGAAATAGAAGGAGGTGGAAAGTTCCACTTAGATCTCAAATGCCTCAGAAAAACCATGAGAATGGGTATGATTTTAAAATTGATAGCAAAACATTTTACAATACTCTAGGGAAAAATAACAATTGACCTATAATTAAGGCAGAAGAATTTTTTCCCCCAAGAAAAGACACATGACCAGAAATCACTGTGAGGTTGGTAGTAATGGTGCCACCTTGCTCCAGGCTCTGGGAATAATGCATTTTCAGAGTAACTTTCTGAGTCATTTAGAGTTCTTTCTGATAGACTGATCAATGACCCTGCCCATATTCAAATTTGAATTCATTCTAAAAAATCAGGAGCAAATGAAATAGATAATGGAATTTCAAACCTAAACATAAACGTTCATAAATAATTTGTTTGTTATTTTGTTATGACATGTTGCTCAGTGATGCTAATGAATAAATCTCAAAGTTGCTGGGGTCTTTTAAAGTGAAATAGTCAGGCTTGCCTGCTTGATCCAACACTGCTTGGCCAACTTCTAGATGTTATGAACCCTTTCTGATCTTTGCCTAGGTTTCTTCACTGTCAGTATCCTCTGACAGGTGTGTCTTCTGATAACTGGCAGAGTCCAGGAGAAAAACCCTAATGTTCTGGAAACATTTTGATGATAGATTTATAACCACAAATGCCATGATGAAGGTGGATCTATGATTAAATTCAAGGTTTCACTTGTTCCTAGTCCCTTTCAGGTAAGAAAATGGTAAAAGGATTCTTGGATTTTCCAGTTTGGTCCTTTACTTATGGGCACATCTGAAGGGTAAACAGAAAGTAGCATATCCTCCTTACCTTGGACTATACCATTTTTGGTTGACCAACAACAATTTCTAATGGAGGTAGTGGTGACCAGGAGGTGGTAAATCACGGAAAATGTAGAGGATGTAAAAGTACATAGCATCCAGAAGGATGAATGTTGAGTGGTCAATGTGGTCTCTAAGTCAAGGGGGTCCAAAATCTATAATATGTACTACAGGGGAAATATGATGCACCATCACCAAGGAACCTGCTTAATTAATGCTGGCTAAAGTTATCCATGTAATACAGGAGGAAAAGCTTCAAGTTCCCTAATCCAAAAGCACTGAGCTGTGGACCAGGTAATTATATGTGTAGTGCACACTTTACAGGTACTAAAACAGACTGGCATGTCTTCCAGGGACAAGGAAAGTGATCAGCCCTCACTTGCAAGCACCTGCTAGCATCTGGCAGTCCCTTGAGTTACTGAGCTTGATGGCGTGGTGGTCGGGGTTTGGGTGAGAAAATGGCTTTATTGTCTAGAAACTACTAGGTTGACTCACATGTAATTACCCTTTTTGTAGGTCAAATAGAAGACGGATAAGTGTCCTGATCCATCTACTATGAAACCCATCACACACTCTGAAAGTGAGGTTCAAGAGTAAAGTGTTGGAGTTCTGCAATCCCTGCAAGCACAGCTCTCTATCCCAGACTAAATCATTCTGCAGTCTGATGATGATGATGTTCCCACTCCAGCGAAGGCTTCCCGGGAGTGCCAATGGCAGGAGCACATTCCAGGCCCAGAGAAAGACCAAGTGGGAACTGCTAGATATCCAAGTTGATGGGGGGCTTGGAATATATATTTAAGTCCTGGTAGCTGTTTTACAATAAATTAGCACTAGCAAATACGACCTGAATGCCTTTTAATAATCTTATAAAGAAAAAGACAAAGGGGATAAAATAAGTCATTAATTCTCAGTACACAACACATAGACCAACACATCCCAATGATACACCTCAACGTCAGAAATTCTAAAACCAGAAACAAATTACAGAAGTTCCAGAATGCACCTAACTCATTAAAAAGGAGAAATTATGGTGCAAAATACTACCTAAAATAACCTCATCTGTAACTAAATGATAAAATCTGTATTCTACAAGCCTTGGTATAAAGGGGCAGAGCCCTAGTGAATGTAAATATAAAAGTTGAAGAGTTTGGAGTGATTTAGAGGCTATCTAGTACAACAGTCATCTTTTTTTAAACATTTTTTTTTATTGATTTCAGAGAGGAAGGAAGAAGTAAAAAGAGATAGAAACATCAATGATGACAGAAAATCACTGATTGGCTGCCTCCTGCATACCCCACACAGGGGATCAAGTCCGCAACCCAGGCATGTGCCCTCACCAAGAATTGAATCATGACCTCCTGGTTCTTAGGTTGATGCTCAACTCCTGAACAACACAGGTTGGGCTACAACATTGATCTTAATCAGGACTCTCCCCTATAACACTGAAAGCTGGTCACTCAGCTGCTGCTGGACTGGTTTTAGCACTAAGGGAATAACTGTGGTCCAAGGCAACCTATGCCTCACACTGAACATGCCTGGCTCTGGAACTCCTGGGTACAGATAGCAGGAAAAGCTGTAAACTGTAAAAAGAAAAACAAATGTTAAAACACACATACACACACACACACACACACACACACACACACACACACATACGAACACTCACTGACAGCAGTCAAACAAGGAAAGAGAACTATCATGAATATCACCTTTGCCATAAATTTCAGAAAGTATTGGTTAAGAAAGGAAAGAGAAGGTTCTGACATGGTTTGGTGAGATCTACTATTTTGTCTCCATCCCCTGGAGGTAGAGCTGCTAAGCTGAAATAATGCTGGGGAATATTCTTTAATACCCCAGTTTTGTAGAGAATAGACTAAACATTAATCATTCCCTTTCCCTGTTGCAAAATAATACCCATGTATGTGCCCTGGTGGAGAATAGGAGGGTAATTGCATGGGGTAGAAATGGCTGATTGAAAGAAATGAATTAAGCTAGGAAAGTGAAAAACTGGGGCTTATTCTTCCTGATAGAATCATCAGCTTCAAAGTTCCCATAAG